TAAGAATGTCAGAATGAAAGGGTTCGCTTTGACCGTTAAGAGTCGCGTTCCCTGCGTCTTTGTTTTTATTGCATTCTATCTCATCGTATCCCATTCAGTTCTGCGCTATTTGAGAATCGCCGTCAATACCTCGCCTCGGTGTAGGAATCCTTTGTTCCATAATCCTGTGGGGCTATTTACAACCAGCCAATTAAGAATTCTCAGATGTACTAGTACTAACAAATGCATCAAAGATTCTGTCATCGATTCTCCCGAGAGGCCACAATTACCGCGAGCAAACACATTAATTTAATGACGAGGAGCGCATTTTGGCTATGCTACTAATACTTGTACTTGCTCGGCTATTCTGCCCAAGCCTGGCTGAGGAAGAGTTACGGGGCGTAAAACAAAAAAAATATACTTATTTGGAGGGGAAGGAATACTATATTTAAAACTAAAATCACGATAAATAATATAAATAATAATAAATAAAGGGCCATTCCATTTCGGCAAAAGACCCACGCCCAAGTTACATAGCTTGGGGGTCCGCTATCCCGATCATGATTTCCCTACCCCCAGAGGAAAAGGTATCGAGATTTAGCGTAGAATGAAAGCGCGGGGGGCAGTACCCAAGCATCAGGAGATGTGAGAGACCTCGCTTGAAGAAGCTTTTTGTGTGTGAAAATCAAGTCGGGGAATCGTTGAATTGACTCCGCAGCTGAGCAAGCGCTCAAAACATAGCTTAGGGAATGCCTTGAGCGAGCCGAGTGCGTATCTCCTGAGTACGATGCCCTAGATCCAGCGCCAACCGATCTATAAGCTTTGGCCAGGCCAACCATTGATCTATTCGAACGCCTTCCCGCAGTTTTTCCTTAAGAGATGCCGGCTTCTGGTGGTGGTTGGAACCCTTGTGAAGGACTTTTCAACAGAACGTTATGGGGTAGTTCCAAAGGAAATGACTGATGGTGTAGCCAAGGGGCGTAGCCAATATGAGATGCTAGTCTTGTCTTACGATTCTTCGTAATCCCCTTTCTACCGATTCCGATATAGCCCAAGGAGGGCTGTGGGTGTGGAAGGGGCCGCCTCGTCCCTCACGTCGCGTAATCGAGGTGGCTAAGGGTTTAAAAAAAGACCTCATAGGTTAGGAAAAGGAATAGAACACCTTTGCTTGCTTGCTGGCTAGCTCCTCTTCCAAGCCTATTGATAAAAAAAACTACAACCTCTCTTTTCTATTTCTAGGACGAGACAGAGAACACCTAAAAAAAGCAGCAAAAAAGAATTGCATCTGGAAGTGCCCCCGCTACACTTGCTTCTAGAAGGAAGTTCCCAGTCGAAGGCCCAAGTCCTAGTACTACCTCTTAGATACGAGACCGCCCAAGGAAAGCAGTCTAGCAGTCAAGTCAAGAAGAAAACAAAACCGTTACCGCTACTCTATGCTTACCATGCCTAGCTCCACGCTAATGAAGTCACTTGGTCCTTACCAGAGTAGAGACTCCGCCTAGGGAGTTGCCTACCCTATCTCTATTCTATCTCTTTCACCGAAACCCCGACATAGAACTCCGAAAACGGGATCCACTTTTTGTTATCTATGATACCAGCTAATTCAACTGAAACTGATTCCACTTGAGAGCGGCATCCATCCCCGTGGTTCTTTCGACAAGAAGGTTTTCTAATTCTATAGCACCCTCTTCTTCCCTCAAACCTGAAAGGGCTTGTGAACAAGAAAAGAAAGAGATTATACCTAAGAACTAGTTAGCTCCACCAGAGAAAGATCTAGTCCTACCAGAGACAGAGATGTACCCATCTAGCCCGAAAAAACATCTCTCTCTTATCCTTAGTCTGTAGCCTTCCACCCCCCCTGAACTAATCCTCCTCCTACTGGGTATTTACACTACTGGCACTGGCTTTCAAGAGGCCCTAAAAAAGGACTGCAAGACTGACAAGAGATGCCCTGCCTTTAGGATAGTCAGTTGGAACATAAAACCTTCTCTCGAAGCTCATACAGGATCCTATAAAACAATCCTTGAGCTTTTTGAGGCTCAGTGATTTTGAAATTGGTTGTCGTAATAAAAAGAAAGAAGAAGCTTATTGAAAGATAATCTATATCTAAATTGACTAGCTTATCGGCTCACGTCGCCGTCGCCTTCTCATATGTCTATGATAAGAAGGTATGATGCGAGATTGACTCGGTATTGTGCGATCTCCGATTGGCATACTTGTACGGAGGCACCCTCCGCCGCCCAAGCAATGGGACTTCATCTGCCCAATCGATGGAAATTCTTAGTATGCTCCCCACCCCATTGGCCTTGTGTTCAGTATCATCATCTTTCCTTAGGGTGATCCTCTGTCTATTGACCTAAACTCCAAGTGATCAGAGGAAACTAGATGTTGAGGAGTTGGCTGCTTCTCTTGATAGCGGAATCTAATTGTGCCTTCTTGTTCACTCTCTCACTATCTGAACGTGAAGGTTAAGTAAGTGTTCCGCGAACTCAATAACCACTTTAAATGCTATAGCGGATGTAGTTTCATTTTTTCCAAGACAAATAAAGTGCTTCTATCGAAGAGGCCCGCGCTTCTTGTGTTGAAGTAAGTACACCGGTGACGTATTATAAGATAAAAGGTCTTCTTCCTTCTTTCTCCTGCCCTTAAGTATTCGTATACCGGTAATAAGTCCGTAGGCCTTAGTTAGCCAGCTTATTTATAGGAGGGTAAAGGAAGGTAGCATGGCTATAGCATGGGCAGGCAATCGCCTGTTAGCGTTGTAACGGTAAGAGCATTAGTCAACCATCTGTCACAGTAGCCTTCTCTGTATCACTCCTTTACTTCACAAGCCCTTACTTTTTCCTCCAACAAGCTCTTTCAAGTCTTTGAGCTAAGCCTCCCTGCTCTACTGGAAACTCTCCAATATCAGGATCAGGTAGGGCGAAGCTCTCTTGTAAGGGTCGATAGGCAGGTAAGATTTTCCTATTAAGGGCTTTCTTTAATTAAATTTACCCTATCTTAATAATAAGAAGAATACATTATATCGACTGACTCATAGCTACCGGTGCTAAAAGGCCTCCCGGGTATCATGCGACAAACAAAGGGATCGGCTACTCCTTTATCACTTGCTTAGCTAGAAAGCGTAGACCCACGAAGGCGCAATCCAAGCGAATTAGGCAGCTCCCGCCGTTTTGAAAAGACTCGAGGAGCCACTCTTGCAATCCAAAGCGGCAAACCACTAGCGCAGATTGATGGGACTTCCTCTTAGTTACCTTCTTCAAGGTCACCGAGATAGCATCTTCTATGGCTCATGAGACAATAAACAACAAGCCCATTTAAACAATGGGAAAGCATATTTTTCCTTACTTTACTTTTTTTATTTAAAAGAGGTTTAAACCCTACTACTTAATATTATATATATATGACAATACCCCGGAAGGGACCCGAAAAAGCTTCTGTAAAGGGAAGCCTTCACTCCATCTTGCCTAAAAAGAAATTGAAAGATCCAACAGACAGAACAAAAAGCAGGAAAAAAATGCACTGAGAAAGAAACTCTTTATGCCACCTAGCGTAGTCAATTTAAGGATCCGCTTCACCCGTATCTCTCTCAAAAGCCTCTCCCCGATAGTGCCTTTGCAACCCTATGAAACAGGGTTACGGTTCTTATCCTGTCTTCTTTCTTTGACTAGCCCGGCTGGAATCTTTTTTTAAATAAGCCTAACGACCTAGCTAGTTGCACCGCTCACTTTCTTGTAATGCCTTCAGATCAAAAACGTTAATCCGCAAGCGCCGAACCATACATTACATAATGAAGCCGTTCCTAAAGCGCAAGCGCGTTCCCCCAAGCGAGCTTACTGGCGTAAACCGGCGCAGACAAACGAACCTTGACTTCTGCAAGGTCGGACAGATTCTGACTTTAGCAAGGTGCGCAAGAAAGCTAGGGGGTTGGCAAGTCAGTTAGCGAACGGAAGGGCAAAGGCAAAGTAGGAGACAAGCCCAGACAAGCAAAGAAGACAAAGATGTGAACAGAAGCCTTTCTCTTTAGTCCTTCCCCGTTGGGGGTGCGGTGCCACGGTCAATCAATCATGCAAGCGGGGGAAGAAGTTAAGTTTAATCCCTCTGCCGTCGGATTGTGAAGGTGTTCAGTAATCTGATGCTCTTTCCATGCTTCCTGTCAAGTCAACTTTGCTGAACTCTTGGCTTAAGCTCTTGTGAAAATATCCCCGAACCAACATGGCATTCAATGCATGCACCCTACTTTACGGTCTTCGCTCCTATTCATTACAGTCGCTTCTTAGTTCTCCGATGGTTGGTTAGTTGGAGAAAAGCGAGTTCATACCTTGTTTTCGGAACCTGAACCTATATTACTTGACTCGAGTTTCTTGACGGGAGTTTGTTAGAATACGATATGAATTCAAAGTATGTTCTTCTTTCGGCTAACCTTTGACAACTTCCTCTTTCTCATTTAGGGATGAATGCTACATGAAGAACATAAGCCAGATGAAGGAAAAAGTCAATCGGGATCGGCAGCCTTTACTTTTTGACTTTAAAGGGTCTTGAATCTCATGTCATCAAAAGTAGGTTTCCTTCTTTCGACTGATTGCCTTCCGCCCGGAAATCTGAATGATTTTGAACCATAAACTGAAAGCTCCTCGTTCCGAGCCTTGCTGTCCTACTATTAGAAGTGAGGCTTTTCCCGCTCTGGTGACAAAACTTCTCTCTCCGTCTGTGAAAAGCATTCTAAGGTAACCTTAGCCTTCTCCTCGTCTTAGAAAGATGAAGAGGAACTTTTTACATCGAAAGCAATTCTTAGGAAGGACACATCTGGCGTTGGATCAAAAAGCTAGTGAGAAGTGGTCTCTTGCGGGGATGCTTTCGAGTATTTCCCAGGATTTATATTCATCCATAGAAAGGTTCCTTCTCGGAGGTTTTTCTTTCCAAGCGGGCAGTAAGACCTTACAAGCTAGGATCTCAAAACGATAGCAAAAACAAAAGCAGCATTTTCCGCTTCGCTATATGATTTAATTATTACTTTTTTGTAGGAGGGCTTGCCCTTTATCTTCTTATTCTTAGACTGGTATAAGGGCTTGTTTGCTGGCTAAGGACGAGACAGATATTGAATTTAAAGATTTGACTTTGACTGATTAGCTGCTAGAAGTTGCCCAGTTAGTCCAATACGACGAACACGGGCTTGGAGAAGAAAGAAGGGCCTTTGCCTTTAATTTAATAAGGGCTTTTTCTTAGCAAGAAGACGGGGTTTGCGCCTTAGAAAGTGACGGTCTTGTCTTTCTCTTTGTGCAAATCCAGTGCTGGTGTTGAAGGTTTAGCCCAGCCCAGTGAATCAAGAAATTGAATCAGGAAGCGCTGCTAGAAGAGAATACTACATTGCCGCTGCAAGTGCTTGAGAATGAGTTCACGCTCTTCTTGTTACAGTAAGTGCTGCAATTGAATCAGCTCTTGATGCAATAAGAGTTCTTGGTGTAACCGCAGTTGAGTAAATATCCGCCGTGCTTGAATCACTAAGCTGTGGTAGTGCTGGAGTACTCCTATCCCTGCTGGTGGTAAAAGAAAGAAGACAGAAAGGCTATTTCATCAGCTCTGGAACTTGAAGGCAGAGAAGGAGCCGGTGGAGTCTGTTAATCTGATTCATCCTGTCTTTCAAGGCGAGGAGTTTAAGGAGCTAGGCTAAGAAGAGCAGCCAAAGGCACAAGGAGGAATTTCTTTTTTACAACAAGGCTGTTTTCAGGTTTGACATTGGACTGAAAGCACCAAGTCGAAAAGAAAGGAGCAAGTGTGGCTTTCAAGCTAGTCTCCCTGTTGCCTTAAGCGCTAGTTCTGATTCACCGGCATATGATTAGCCGTCAGTTCCCGTTTATCCCGAGCTAGGAGCTCCGGTTTCTTCCGAACCAAAAGACTCTGAAGTCGCAGCTAAAGCAGGAGGTCCTAGATAAAATGAATCGGCATCAACAGACGCATAAGCTTCAGTAGAAGCTGTTTCACAAGCGAACTCCGACGATGTATCAATATCCCGACCCACATCTAAATCCAAATCAGAAGCCGAAACTGACGCAGCTGCCACTAAAGCAGATGAAGTCTTGTCTACTGCCAAGGAAGGCACGGCACGGAAGGATTTAAACCTGAACCGGCGGATTCCGCTTTTACCAACCCAAGAGAAAAGGAAGAAGCAAAAAGCACCTCCCCTTTTTCGCGCAGAGACTACGATTTCAATGATGCCACTTTTCTTTAGGCAAATAGGTCTATCAAGCTTAGCCTTTAGAGCGGGCGAACTTAAATCAGAATACCTTTCGCTTCTTCTGTCAGCTATCGGTTTGCACTTTTACCCGATCTGGGAAGAAAAGCTATTCTTCTTAGCTGTTGAAGAAGTGAATTGCCCCGCGATTGTTATCTGTCATTTTCTTTTGGGTGGATCATCTTGGTCTTTGATGCGCTTCTTCATCAGTTCTGGATTGTTATCCATTAAATCAGGAAACATTGACCATGTCTTTCTAGTAGGTTTCTCCTCGTCTGTATTAGGTATCTTCTCGTCTGTCTTAGTTTTCTCGTCTAATGTTGGGTTAGTAACCTCTGTTGGTTCTTCTTCTTTTTTATCTAATAGCGTTCTGTCTTCAGTAAGACTAGTCTGTATCTCTGTAGTGGATTGAGTGTGCATCCTTTTATCTGTATTCTTCTTAGCATCAAACTGTGATTGAATCTCTTTGTATCTCTCGGCTATCTCTCTTTCCTTCTGAGATAATTTCTCATTGAGAATGTTATTTTCAGTCTGTAGATGTATTACATCATTCCTTAGTGATTTGATTATTTGTTTTCCAATGTGATCTAGGCTAGACAAGTCTTTGATATCAATTGGATCAGTATCCACCCAGACATCTCTGTGATATACTGGTATCCTCTTGGTCCCCTGCTTAATCCCAAGCCTGACCAATGTGTCTTTCTTGATGATGTTAAGAGTGTGCCAATCAATCCGGAAGTTGGCAACCACCGGTACCAGTTCTGTACGAGATGGGTCCGCGAACTGTGACTCAAACCATTCTGGATAGACCTGGCTTTTCGCTGGTCCCTTGTACTTGAGTACATTGGTGCTATCTATTGCGATGTAGAAATAGCATTTCGGTGCTAAAAAGTATCCTTTCATGACTCTGTCCTCTAGCTTAAACTTACCTAAGACAGAAGAAGAAATCACTTCTTTAGGTAGTGGCTGACCAAGCACAACAGAGTCTGTGTCCGTGTAGTAGCAGTCCTCTCTTGAGATATAAGGGTACATATAGATCCTAGCTGAGGCTGTGATCGCAGCAGCTAGTTGGACTGCTGAGTTCTTCGGTGGGTTCCAATAATCAGATCCCGTCTCGGTATTGCTATGGTAGGCAACTATGTAGTTGTTCTCGCTAAGCATATCACCGAATATCAACTCACTATGCCTGATCAAATGTTTGTATCGATCTTCATCGCAGACCTCGGTTATCGTGCTTTTAGGGTTAATGCCAAATCTACCGTATAGCGAATTCATAAGGATCTTGTACACATAGGCCAAGGCCTCATTACCTGATATCCTTGCCTCTAACCTGCTCTCAAAGAGTGAGCTAACAAAGTCCCTGAATGGGCTTTCCATCCTCTCAAAGAGGTAGCCTGAGATTGGGAGCACAGTGTAGCCTAGGCCTCTTGCATACTTTAACTCCTCGCTATAGTACACTCCAACAAATTCCCCGGTTGGAAAGATGAGAGTGTTATTCTTGTCTCGATAGGGTAGAAAGGGCCTCTTGATAGTCTTCGGACATACCACATATGCCTCAATAAAGCCAAACATGCTATCTAAGTCCTTGCCTTCCAGATTTCCATACCAGACTGGCACACCACCTGGCATTGGATATTCCTTCATTACAAAGGGATAGAGAGAGTTCACATCGTAGTAGTATAGGTCCTCGCCATATGGCTTGTATGTATCTGTATGACCACCGTAGTAGGCACGCCTTATAAAGCAGTCTTCATTCTTGTTTGGGATGTGGATTGGCCAATTAGAAGCATCGTAGTATTTCATACGAAAGATGCTTAGAGCCAGTGAGGAAATGGTTATCTTGCTTTCTATGTCCACCTTGTACAGCTTCCAATATATCTCTTGAGCTTTTTGCATTACACCTCCAAGGAGAAGGATGTCCTGCTTCATATAGTCTAACAAGCTTTTTTTCATACTAGCCAGATTTGACAGTGTCACCTCTTCATATGGGATAGAGCCTTTCGGGCCTAGGCCGGGGCATAGATTCTTAGCTAGGGCGCTAAGTTTGCCAGGGAGTAGATTCAAGGAGTCCCTGAAGCGGAATAACATCTTCTTACCTGAATAGACAGCTAACTCGTAAAGCCTATTGTTCCTCATCAGTGGTTTTAGCTTGTAGCTCTTGTGATGACATGCTAGGTGCTTAAGCAAGAGAATTCCATCGAATCTAGAGAAGTTGTGGAAGTAAATAGTTAAAGTTGATTGTTCTTGTCTAACAATCGTTGATATCCTAAATACCAAGTCATAAAGTACCTTAGTACTCCTTTCTTCAAAGGAATCCAAGATTATAGAGTAGTCTTCACTGAAGTAGGTATCAATCATAATATCATAGATCTGTTCACCGGGACGAACCATCAAGAGACCAGCAGCATAAGGCTTATGAACGTTATCGATCAGTATAGTCTCGGTATCGGCTACCATGAATGGTTTCAGCTCAGTGCAACATGGTTTTAGTGCAGTGATATGGGTTGGATGGCTACGCTTACGATTTCGGATCTCTCTTGCTGTTATTGGCTCGATCTCACTCAATCTGGCTTGAATGATTGAAGAAAGTGAGCTATCTCTCTCCTCTGAAGATAGGGCTGGCCTATCCATCTTTTTGCCGTCCATATAGACTCGGATCATGAGTCGAACTATATAATCTCCGTCGTAGATTTCAGCATATTTCATAATATATCGAGATATATGAGCATTGACCTCACTCATTGGAATTAACTTACAATCTTGATAAGTCAAGGGGATAGCAGGACCAAGCGTAAATGTGATCTCCTCTCCGTAAGATCGCTTCATGGTAAAGGAAATTGTGAACTTACCGTAACCAGATAAGGATGGGTAAGCAAACTGGATTAAGAGATCCATGGTCGCAAGACAGAGTAGGTCAATCTCGTTAACAAGAGGGTAAGGCTCGAAGAAGTGATGTGAAGCAATGATTAACCCAGGATGCGGATCTTGGTGTGTTGTTCGTTCAATCTTTTGATACAAGCGATTCAATAACAGTCCTGTAGTTGCGCTGTCTGTGGTGTATGCCATCATCTTATGCTTCATGCTTAATAGTGTACGCAGTAATATGGGGTTTTCCCCTCAACTTCAAGCTTTGTCTTGAATTCATCCCACTTTTTCTCATGAGCTTTCCAACAATTCTTAGGATTAGGGGATTTGAAATCGCCGCATACATTACGAGTATAGTTCTCGTAAGAGGTCAGTATTCCCGAGATCCTTTCTTCCCAAGTTGCCAGCATCTTCTTGCTTAGCTTCTCTGGTATATTAGCCTTTAAGTAATAATGAAGCATCTCTTTGGGGATTACCATACTGGCTAAGTTACCCTCAGTTGGTCCATTTGACTCCCTTTTTACAATGGGTTTAATAACATTCATATAGATGAACTTGTTGATGATTGAAAGTGGAGGGCCCATGTTACGAATGACGTTGCTATAAACCGTTGGTAAACTATTGCTATATTGAGCAGTTGTTATAAAGTTGTCGTGTACTGTGTATATAGGCGCTCCTATATAAAGCAGCATATTTTCTACTACTCTCATTGCAATATAGGCATCCTTCTGATGGATGAAGTTTACGAAGGTAGAGATTTCAGTCTTCCTACGATCTCTCTTAGAAGAAGATACTCTGAGAGTAACCCGACGCCTTTTCTTATGAAGTCTATCATAAACCCATATATTTATGGCCTCCATTATCATATAATCCTGTACCGTGGTTAAGTAAGGCATTTTATAGAAAACAGGGCAATCCCTAGCTGACGCGATCCAGCCTATATGGCGGATCAACCGGATCAGGCATTCCATGCCCTGATATTTTGTCCTCCAGAACTTAAAGCAGACAGAGGCTACATTGAAGCATTCCTTATGAGTGAGGAAGTGAGAGAGATGGTCTTTTAGATCGCTGGCCGTGCTCATTAAAGTTTTGCCATAGATAATTGGCATAAAGATACCTTTGACTAGCTTACGAGTGAGGTGATTGCAAACTATCGTTGATAGATTATTCTCCAGTTCTCCTTTCATGAACTCCTTGAGCTCTTCGAGGATGAAAGAATAAACATCTTTGATTTTTCCATCCGAAGATGGGATGAGATTCGTTCTATTTGCTATGGTTTCATCCAACAAAAAGTAACTCATGATCTGATATGCACTCGCTGAGGCGTCTTGGGTAATAGGGATGCTCGTAATAACGTTCAAATTTGGAATGCAAATTATATTGGAGAGGAACTGAAATGGGCGTTTAGCCTCCTGAGCATACACGAAAAGATCATTGCCCTCATGTATGTTTTTATTTAACCACTTTATTGCCTCATCGACAGAGGGGAAAGACTTGTAATGGTAGGCTGTTGCTGCGACAAATTTGTTAATTTCAAAATTTTCAATTGGTTTGCAATCCGCAAAGAGAATCAGGCTTCTTGCTAGATCACGCTCGTGGAAATGCAAGACCCCACTGCGGTAGATTCGACCTCGGAAGTCGAGAAAGGCTGGCAAATAGAAATTATAGCCATCGTAGGCTTTTGCCAGCTTGATAACCAAGTTCTCATAACGAGAACGCTGTATGTTCTTACATAAAGTATGTAACAATTCGTTAAAGGTACATAATTTGTTAATAACCTCATCCTTCATGTAAAATTCTCTAAGTAAGATGTTGACTTCTTTTATATTCATAGAGGCTAGAAATCTTGGCATGAGTAAACCTAATTTAACTAAATGGTTCTCATTCTCTAGAATATAATTCAACCAATAACTGTTGATTTTAAAGGCCTGACCCTGCAGCTTGTTCATAACATCACACAGATACATGTAATTTTGATCTTTTCCTAAATCAATATAAAAATGATTAATGTCACCGGTACTTAACAGGCGGTAACGATCATATATTTCTCCTGTTGGTTCACTTAAGTAACCCCCTGATAGATCGGACAGGTATCTAGGGGCCGACATGCCGACATTCCTCCAATCAAGAGGTTTGCATACCATAGGCAGGTTGAGCTTGATCGGTAGTAATGAGATATCAAAGTTACAGACTGCGTAGAGATAACTTGGAAGATAATAAGATCCTTTACTCTTCTTCACTGGTATTGTCCCGTTCATATCACTCATTAATGTGATCAATTCCCTTTCCTCCATGAATTGAACTAAGCTGGAACCGAAGGGATACATCATCACCAATTTTGAGCTTTTCCTCTCCTTCTTCACTTGATAAACTTTATCTGTGGCCATAGAGATGTTTTTTTTACACCTACTACTTTTCAATAATGCTGCTTGTTTCCGGACACTAGACTCAAGTTGTTCAACCAAAGAAGCAACACGAATTATTGAGTTATTTTCAAGACTGTTAAAAACCATACTTAGTACATGAACTATTAAAGCCTCAATCGTATATTGACCGAACTCTGAAAGCAATTCCATATCAGCCTTATCGAGTAGCCTTCCCCTGAGATAATCCTTAGCACATTCCTCATTTTTCCTGATTAACATTCTTATTATGTTGGGAGTACTCTTATAAACATTTTTCTCATTGAATACCATTGTTTCGTCCTCAATTTCAATTTGCATCTTACGTAATTCCTCATCACTTAATGGTAAGCGAGCTTTTTCATTTTGCAATATATCGAATATTTTGTCTTTATACTGAGCTGATTTAGTCTGATTCTGTTCTCCACAAAGATTATTATGAAGTATATAATCTTTTAACTTATCCCAAAACTTTAATATTTCTTGTTTTTCATTTTCTTTTCCGGGCGCATTAACTAATGATTTAGTTAACCAATTTTGATATGGCATGGCATTCCTTATAATCTAATGTCTAGAGTAATCCCTGGGTTTTTCCTGTGCTGTGTATCTTTGTGTATCATGTATTATATCACAGGTGTCGCTACCCTGGCACATCATTGTAATTATACATACTTACCACCAGCTATGAGAGGTTATCGGTAACATAACACGATGACATACAGCTGGTGAACGGCATAGACTCGAGTATTATGTCAGTATGGTAGTACTCTATCTGTGGGATTTTCATTTAGTAATGTGCCACTACCCAGTAAGTATAATATGATGTAACCCTCTAGCATACTAACTAGAGAACGACATTGTTATTACTCTAAAGGAGGACAATTAGATAGGAGTACTTTTTTTTTTTATTACTCTAAAGGAGTACACTTATATAGGAGTACTTTTTTTTAAAAAAAGAAAAGAAAAACAAGTATTCTGAAGCTAAATGCTCTTGGATGGGGCAGTTAAATAGGTAGAGAACTCCTTTTTTTATCTTTTAGAATGTAGTCTATCACTTTGAGGTCATGAGAACCTTGTGAATTGATATAAATTATGGCATGCATCTCTGAGGAGAGTGGCACGGCCAAACATCATCCCAGAAGCAAATCGGCTTACCATTGCCCAACCAAAGTCTAGCCCAAGTTCTGCCTGAAAGTCTCTTTATACCAAATAATACCTTTCTAGATGCAGGATATTTAAGAGGTGGGTTGGTCAATCCATTTTATCCATTGGAGAGGTACTTAGCAGCCAAATATGAGCACCATGGCTTTTTCTTTTCCTTTGCTTTGGAAATCTCCATAGCCACTTCCTTCATAAGAAGGGCTGGTTTGGTGAAAGTCCACCTCCTTCGTTAAGGTGCTTTAAAAAATCCAGAACATAAAAAAGATTTCATTTTTTGTAAGGGATGTTAGTAAGGATGAACATGACGAGGTCTTATTGCATTACTTTTTTTTATTTAAATTCAAACATATCTATCTCAATCTTGTAGCAATTTCCTCTTCAAATCACATATGAACTTTGACGGAGTAGGGAAGTCGACTCTAGGAATTCGGATTATGGTGGGGTCATAAGAGATGGCTGGTGCTGTCATGTGGAATTGAACAGGTCTCCTCTAGGGATGAAAGATGCAACCTTTTCAAAAGCAGAAACTCTCCTGCATGGCCATGGTTTTGTCCTAACTATTGATTCTTTTCAAGTTATCATATCAAACAAAAAGGGATTCTCTTAACATGATTAGATGGGCGAATGCTAATAATCAAGAACCTTGGCGCCTATGCTTTATCCTGAGAAAAAATTTCTCAATATAAATTGAGTTCAAATTCATCATGTGAAGAGGGAAGCGACTCATTTAGCTGACCGTCAGGCTAACTTGGGTGTTAGGCTGCAGTCTTGTAGTCAGTGGATGGGGGGTCTTCCATTCCAGAAGAGATTTGAATTTCACTTTTTCTCTCACTTATCATCTCTCTGTGGGACTTGTTCCCTCTTCAACTCAGCGCTTTATAGATAGGCATTTTTCTTGAGAATTAAGGTCCCACCTTACCTTTCAAAAAAAAGTAGCCGAGCCAAAGGAGCTCTCACAAATAGAATTTTAGTACCACGGAGAAAAGCTAGCTGGATAAAAAAGATAGGGATCGCTCGCTCGGCAATGCTACCTTGGGAGGAGACAAAACAAACACTTTAATATAACAATTGAAACTCATATTTTAAAAGCTTTTTCGATATATGAACAAGATTACTATGGAAGAGTTGGTGAACATTGTTTTTACTAATAACTCTAAGATTACTAGTATGAATAAGCCAGCTTCAACACCACCTAGACTCTTAATCATAGACAGACTTGCACTGACCTCAACATAAAAGGATGAACCTGGTCTGTCTATTTGTACGCATTGGCTTAACTCACTCCTAACCCCCCCAAAGAACACATAATGAAAACTGCCAGGTCAAGGCTGTACAAGGGAACGAGAAAGGGGTTTGATAAGAAAGAGTTTGGGCTTAAAACAAACATCGAGTTTGGAGTCGGGGCAGCATGGATACGAGACTATTGAAGTGAAGTTTGGAATCATTGTGGTTTTCTATCTTTAGATTAAAAAATTGGAGAATCACCAAGGCCTTTCAGCGATTTGACGCGCCCCCCTAAGCTAGACGCTTCACCTACCTGACCTCAGAGAGAATAGAATAGAATGAGTCGCCCTAGCTCTTACTAAGAGTTTGAATTGCTCTGTAGGATAGTAGGGCGAATGAATTGCATTAGTGCGATTTGGCTAGCTGAATCGCCCTGCGAAAAAATCGCCTCCTTGCTATCTTAAAAAAAAGCGGACCCGCGCGAATCGCGTCTTCGATCTTGCATATATATATCAGCATCACCACTACGGAAACGAAATTTCCTTAGTCCTTTTTCTTTGAAACAAAGCCAAGCCTTTGTCGCCTTCCATCCCGCGTTTCCCTGCTTTAGACTTTTTTTTTTCTTAGTCATGAACCACCCTGGTTGAGACCATGGTCTACCCAGCAGTGCTTCATATCCTCCTTGCTCTTTGTCTAAGATTGGACTAAAGGTACCAAACCAGGCATCTTTTTTTTTTGTTTTTTTTTTTT